TAGAGGTTCTTTTTCTTTGCCTCTCTCCAAGTAGGCCCAATCCCTCTCCATCTTGTGCTGTATCACTTGATTTGTGTACATTGTGAGCTTGGCAGCGATCAGTGAAGCGAGCTTCACTGTATCTCGCTGTACGATGATGGTGATGATGTCAACATGTGCTTCGGCCATTCCTTGTTGTGGACATTGAGATCTCCAACAACAGTAATTTGGCTATTAGGATCTGCTGCCATTAGTCTCAATGTAGGAAGATAGAATATCAGAAATAGAGGGATCATTGCTGCTTGAGGAGCGGTAAACAGTACGAAAATGGTGGTTGAAAAAGCGAATCGAAGTGTCAGCCACATAAGCTGGAATTCACCGTTGGAGAAGTGTAGGTGCGAAAGTCGGGAAGAAGCGAGAGAATAATATAGACAGACACCAGCTTTAGAAAGAAAAGAAGAATAGAGGAAGTAATTAGGAACTTGAAGGTGAGTAGTGTCTGACGAGAGAGAGGTTTGTATCTCTGTTTAAAATAAAGCCAAGGGAGAAGATTTTAGAAAGTGGTGTACGGAATTAACATCGATTTATACTATGAATGTTGGTGAGGGTTATAGAGTGTTTTGAGGTCGTAGGTAAAGTGTTCATTCTGTTATTTCTGAGAGTTGTATTGTTCAGTTGTAATGCGAGAGAAGACCGGCAACCCAACCCTGGGACTTGGAATGGTAAACCACATAAGGCCTCAAAAGGTTGAGCGTGGTAGTGAACCGAGCGACCGCAGGGCTGCCTGCCACCAATAAGACTGTACTTCAGCTTTCCTGTCCCCTGCTTCATGCAAATGGGCAACCTAAACTGGTACACGAAAGTGCATAGTTATTGTTTTACCAAACTGAAAACTGAAACTATTCGGTGATATGCACTCCGGAGTTTGAGTGATAAAAACAGCTCATTGAGAAACCTTGCGTACTGTTTCTTCCGCCTAACCCAAGGGTGGGCATCCACATACGATAAGCGATTTACGGTTCGACTGTGGCTTGCCACTTNCCTGGGCTAGCCACAGAGACTTGGTAGGTTCAGTGATGTTTTCCTCTAGCAACAGAACACTTGTGATGGATAAATTGTAGTCTGCAGCAGAGTGACAACGTGATTTTGTAACAACAGGTTTATAATTGAGGACCAAGTTATAAAACTGAAGAAACGTGCACTTTTGCCGCAGTAAACACATAAATAGAACCAATTGGTCACTTACAGTCCATAATAATAATCACCTTTTAATGGTGGCTTGGGAACTGAAGACTGAGGATGAAATCTTGCGTAGGTTTAAATATGGTGTATGTGATAGGAGTAGCACCTGGAGTGGGTAGATTGTCTTGTCCTTTTGGAGGCATCCTCTTCTTTGGTCTCTGTCATACCCAATTCTCCTGTGGCTCCGCAAAGATGAGGCATGCATCAGTGACCATATCCGGACAAGCCGTTCGACGGTTAGACTAAGTTGGAGCGACATTCGGGCGGGCGAGATATATACCTGACCCAACGGCTATAACGAAATCCCGTCCAACGAACGAGAATGCATGGATCCCTGGGCCGCATCTATATCGACTGAACTGCGAACGAGCTGTGGAGCCGCCAACAACCTTGCACGAACGCGTCGCTACTTTGCAATCTGCACTTGGCTGTGCAAAGCTAGAGATGTGCTCTCGATAAACGCTTAATGACGCCGGAGACGTCTTGTACCAAACTCACTAAAACTCTGATCATGTTGCCTACACACTCATGAAGCCGGCGTATCCTTTTGATGGAGCCACAGTAAAGTAAAATAAGTTTAATATGTCCATGGATAACGCAAGACAAATGGGTTGAAGACATTTTCGGGAGGCAATACAGACCAGTGATGCGGAGTAGCATTTATACTGCATATGTAACTTTTACAACTGCCGATGTGAACGAGAGCCTTCAGTGCTACTCCAATAATGAAAACATGTACGACAGAGGATGCCCAAACGAGGAAGGATATGACAGATTTCAAAGCGGACGCTGCGCGTTTGCCATCCGGATTAAATTTAAAAAAAACTGGAACTGTCCGTCTTTCCTATATGATTTGCAGCTAGCTTTCGGACATTTTAAACGCGAGTGGTGGAGTTCCTCACAGTAGAAGCAGTCAATAGCTTTTGTTCTGAGTGTTCCTCGGGAATCGGATTGTGAATAGTTAGTTTTTGCACAGAGTGATGAGATACTAGTTTCTGTCAACCGGTAGTCGAACCATACGTGAGGGATTGCTGCTGGACATGTTCCGACATACGGACCTCGAATGCATGTAGAAGATACAGGGTTTACTTTCGAGGAAGCCTTCAATAAGTGATGTTAAAACGCAGACCTGTGCTGAAAGCCTCACCCTTGCCGAGGTATTTATCTACAAATCACAATGAAGTTACAGTTTGATGAGACAGCCCAGTTTCGGTAGAGACTGATCAACTCCATAACAACGATATTGGTCCGTAGATTGCTTGTTGATTGATTACTACTAGGTTGCTCAGGTCAAAACAAATAAAGTTCTTTGTATTTACAACCTAACCCTCAAGACGGAAGCTATCCTTTGTAAATACTGAACAGTTTCGGAAAATCACTCTAGGTAATGTGAATGACAGGTTATATTGTTTTCGGTTCGCCTGGTGTACTTCACTGGTATTTTGCTTACCCAAACTTGTTTAACTTTCTTTCCATAGAATGAAGAAGAGGAAGTTGCTGTTTCACCCCCAAAAAGGCGTTCCGATCGGGTTTGTAAGGTTAGTGTTCATCATTTATTGTTTCAATTTTAATAGAAAGAAAAAACCGTCGATCAGCTGTGCGAAGAGCTCGGTATTGAGGATGTAGAACTAACGTACTCAACCGAGGACTTTGAAAACTGGACCATTCAAAAGCTTTTTGATCAGTATGTGCGTCCCTTGATCATACAAAAAAATCCACACGCACCAAAAGAAGACGTCCAAAAGATCATGGATGCAAAATGGAAGGAATTTGCCATCATGAATCCTTATATTCCCAAGGGTGAAGAAGGTAGGTGTTCATTTATGTGCATCGACTTATCTGATCAGATCTAGATGATGACTTTGATGACAATGATACCGAGACCCAAGATGACGACCTATCTGAGCTTCGCGTTTCCAGTTCTGCCGGTCGTAAACGCCCAAGAGCATCTACTAGAAAAGTCACGAACCCGGGCACACCAGCGGGTTACACTACCCCCTTGTCCGGCTGTGCNCCTGCCGTAAACACACAGGTCCCCACACCTCCCATTAAGATCAAAATAAGCAAGAAGAAGAAAAAACGAGGGCGAAAACGTACCGAGGTATGTCAGTCCTTCGAAATGCTGAAGGTTGCCAATTTACTATCGGACAGTAAATTAATCCATCGTTTTTTGACCATGATGTGAAGTCCCAAGTTTCGTTTATTGTGATAAATCTAGGGTTGTTGTTTCCATTCATTATCAACAATTGCCTATCTGTAATTTTTGTGATTCTCTCATTCGATAGTCTGTTCGATAGAAGCTTGTCTATGGGGCAAACGGAATGCTAATGTGGCAAGTGGTGTCCCTAGCGTATAGGTTTTAGTAAAAAGATATACCTAAAACCGTTGCACAGCTACGCGTAACCTGCAGATTACTATTGAAATCATTCAAGCAAGTCCCATCTGCAGGCCTATCTGTTGAAGATCTGAACTTGCACTCAATTGTGTTTCGTGATGGGCAGCGAAACTCCATGGTACGCTCTATTTGAGCCCCATGTAGTCTGACATTACAAAAATTCGGTGAGCATTGTAGCTACATGATTATACCATTCACTCTTCCACGGTACCACACTGTGGTATACTATGAGGAGTAGGGGGGTGTTTTGATAACCAGTGATGCTTTTTGCTGCCCATATAATTTTGATCGGTCTTAGCAATTCAAAACACCTTTTTAAGTTTATTTTGGTAGTGCTGGTGTGTTCCACCAACTCACATTGTTCCATCGAGAGAGAACCAAATCACCGTCGTCCTGTTGTGCTATCACCCATGTATAACGCCATTGACTGCTGGTAATTGCTTATCTGGTGAGACGAAGATTAGTTATTCACGGTCAACTTCCAATCTGAAGACCCACCTGGTATTCGCGCTGTTCATTACCGAACCCTCAATTACATGCTAGGGCTATCTTCAAAACGCTACCACACTCTTGGTTGTGCAAAGTAAAACCAACGCTCCTACTGCATTTCTAGGTTCTTTTTTCGATTGAAGTATATTTCGTCAAGTTGCTTATGACAGTCGGCTCCTGGTTCGCTGACAATCTACTATTAGGAGGTTTTTGAAGAAAACCACACTGGATTCAAAGATGCCGTCCGACTGACTTGGTCATTTTTCGCAGCGTTTGATTTAGGAACACTCGCTCATTCCCAGTCCTAAACTGTCTAAACATACAACAAAACGGATTTACCTTAGATTTTCCCAAATTCCATTACAAAGTTAAACAATCTCTGAAGTATATGGCTTACTCCTTTTACTGTGACTTATTGTTATGATTACATACTGTTTTATTTCACAGAAACTTCATCGTGTATAGAGCAAATGAAGCGTAAACTGAAAAGCTGGGATGCATTGCACAGCTGTTTCGACCTGATTGGGTTTCCTCAGCAGTGCGAACCCATCGACCCAATTGGGACTCGAACCCGGAACCTCACAGCCAGAACGCAGGCATGCTATCCACTCGACCACCGGGCGACTGATCATGAAATTGGGTGTGGTATACTTCCCAGATGATCAGATTGAGTAAAGGAATTTCCTCATGGGGTTTCTTCCGGAGCTCATGATCACTCAGAAGAAAATCTATCGGCCAGCGAAATAGTTATGTCCTAACTAGATGTACGATCGAAAAGAGCGCCTCTTGCTTAGCGGAATTGATAAAACAACTGAAAAAAACATTTTATTGAACGATCATGTTATGAAATGCGTATATGTAGCGAAAATCGAATGTACGAGAGCGACACGATGAACCAATTAAATTGTATCCTTGACTTTCCGATTGGTAGGTCGAATTTGATTCGTTCTGCAGGGTGTGCTCGAGAAGTTTATCTCAGTACAGTCCCTGCCTAACCCATGTTGAGTCCGAGCTTACAGCAATCTTCCGTTCGAGTTCACCACGGAATGTGGTTTTCGTCGGGATTGCCCTCCTTTTCTATTCAAATTTGTTATACATTTGATTATGGAAACTGCCCCGTCCTCGTGAGGGGATGGTGGCATCGATTACCTTCCAGTTGGCGGACTGTCTGATCTAGAGTATGCAGTCGACATTGTGCTACTAAATAAAGATCCAGGTAAGTTGCAAGCTTTTTTGGATAGTTTGAGTGCTAATGTAGCCATGTTCGGTGTTCGTTTTTCACCTTCAAAGTGTAGAATGCTACTTCGCGCCTGAGTTGGTCAAGCATCCAAACTCACTCTAATCGGGAATGTAATAGAGCAAGTGGATAAGTTTTGTTATTTACGCAGTTATATCTCACCTGTGGACGCATCACGGATAAAGTATCAGCTGGCATACAGAAGCCTCGATTGGCATTTGCCAACTTGAGACATCTGTGGCACCGTCGCGACATCCGGCTGTCTGTGAAGGGTCAAGTGCATGCTATAGCAGTTCGGTCAGTTTTGCTCTACAGGGCAGAAACTTGGCCATTAAGAAAACAAGATAAAGCTAGGCTGTCGGTATTTGAACACCGCTGTCTACGCAGCCTTGCGCGAATGTGGCGGGGCAACTGGACGAGCAATACCGAGGTTAAGCGCAGAGTTTCGGGTAACCGCAGTCGTCCACTAGAGCGAGTGATCGACCTCCATGGATTTTGTTGGTTAGGGCATGTTTTACATGTCACCAAATAGGTGACGCGATGTGTGCTGAGGTACCTAGTGGGTGGAAGGAAGTTGAGAGTGGTCAAACTAAGACCTGGCACGAGGGTATGAAAACTCTAACCAAGGAGGCTCGGTCATATGGGTCGCGTTGGCCCCCTGGATGGGGTTGTTGGGATCATTATGGTCAATGATTAGAGACACTGAGTGTTATGGCTCAGTGTCGCTTGTGAGTCTTCTCAATTTCTTTCCAACCTTAGTCCACTGAAGTCCTACATTTTCTCTTCGATCCTACTCTCTCTCCTTTTGTTCATCCAAGTGGTCAACCGAAACTGGCGCACAAAAGTGCATGGTGAATGATTGTTGAAACTGAAACTGAAACTTCCAATCTGGACTTGACTATACTTGAGCAACCACCTCATCTTAATAACACCCGCTGTTCGCTCGCAACTTCTTATATGTCATGGCGCACCACAACATATTCGCAGGTATCTTTTTACGAATGTATCCACAAACCGAGGACGCGCTTGTTTACTCTGGAATACAAATATCTAAGATCGACGAGAAGCAACTAACGGTCTATGCATTGTGTGAAACAAGTCGGCAGATGTGGGAGTTCGCTCCGTTTTACTAATCAGTGAACAATCTAAGCGTCTGTCAGGGATGGGTCTCATAGTTCGTATTTTGAACCATAAAGTTGCCAGCCAAGTTTGTTGTTGGGTCTCTTTGTTGTTTCGCTTTTCTCAGTACCAAGCCAATTTTATTCAAGTAGTGAAGTTGTAGTTTGACGAGACAGCCCAGTTTCGGTAGATACTCATCAACTCCATAAGAATTTTATCGGTCCGTGATTTGCTCGTTTCCAACTTGTAGTGCGTAAAATTTTGGTGACAGTTCTCGCAGGTAAAAGAAACAATCTAATTGAACTACGTTAACGGCTCAAGTTCTAAGTCATGGAAATCGTTTTAAATTGGTTTGCTATCTTTTGTGATAGTACGAGCTGTTCTATGACTCCCAGTGAATCTAATTGTACAACCCACGAACAATGAAGGTAGCGGAACCCACCGGGCCGATATACGGCTTCGCTTATGCCTGCATCAACACCAAACATATATGGGGAATATAATTTGTTTCCTCCTGCAGGCCCCCTAAGGCTTAGGTTGCCGTTCACTGACACTACACGTTAGCTCCTAGTGATTCTGAGATTTCTCCCGTCTAATGTTTATCACACTGTACAGAAAAAAAGATATTTACCGAATCAATCGTACATGCACTGTAATAGCTTGTGCTACAAATTTACTATTTATACTAGAGCGTTTTCTATAACTAGTACTTTCCATTTCTGTTGTAATTCTTTTGAGTCGCAGTAAACAGTTAAGCACTACGGATAGAGAAATACCGGTCAAATAAGTGTAACTGGAAACAGCATTTTCGTTCGTATGCTAATCTATTTTCGGCATCTTTTCGGTATCTAGGATCGATCGCTTGGTGGCAACAACACCAGCGACGAGGAGTTCGAACGTCAACTGGAAGAGGCTGAGATCGCCCAAGACGAGGAACGAGACAGACGCAAACGTTCTAGCAAACGTCAGGCTGGCGTGGCGGCCCCTGTTGCTTCCGGATCAGAATTGAGTGGTCCAGGGACCAGTAAAAGTCACCAAAAGACCACGGCACGTTTTCCACTGATCGTGACTCGTAAAGTGGCTAACAAGAACGGCGAAGAAGAAGGCTACGAAACTGATCACCAAGACTACTGTGAAGTCTGTCAGCAGGTAACACAAATTGTTTCTTTTTTTTGATCCGTTATGAGAAAATTTTCACCTGTTTCTACCAGGAAATGCTCCATTATAGTGTTTGAATCCCACCACCGCCTGACTTCCCCCTCTATTGTGTTGAATGGCAACCCTGTGAATGGCCGCTTCCCCCGTCCTGGAAATAGTATCATCGCATATTCAGTAAAAAGAAAGGAAAAAAGAAAGATAAAATAGAAATCTTTCCAGTTTGACCTAAACTAGATTGTTGGAGATATATCCGTTCCAATATCCATCTAGCGATTTTTTGACCCATTTAGGACTATCTGTGCTTATTTACTGAAGTGAACTCTTCAAAGGTAATCGTGGATGGTCAAAGGAAAAGCCAATTGCTACCCAAGGAAACCTAATACCATAGAACTGTGTTTGATCCGGTCGCTCCCACTAACCCTAACCAAGAGACTGAAAACCCTAACCAGGAGACTAGGTCACATAGGCCCCGTTAGGCTCCCTGGCTGGGGACCTCGGGATGATCGTAACCGGTGGTTAGCTACACTGAGTGATATGGCTGGGTGTCGCAAACTGGCGCTCGTGCATCCACTCGTTATTTTCCTAACACCACTCTACATGTATTCCCCATCTTCGCTTGAATTTGCTTCGATATTCCAATCTTCATTTCGCTCTTTAATCCAAATGGGCAACCAAAACCGGCGCACGAAAGTGCATGGTTAATGGTTGTAACAACTGAATAACTGAACTGAAACTTTACTTAAAGCCACCCGGTCACAGATACAAGCCACAACATATCGCCGTACACTATACTGCTCAGCAATAACCCAATGCAATTGGCAGACACTAGTTTACCGTCCGACCTTCTCTTCCAGTTTTGCCGCTCACAGGGTATTTTTCCTAGAACTTGCAGCTTCCACCCCCACGTTCAATTATTCTTTTCTGTAGTCCCTTGCACAAGTGAGTTATCACCTGTACAAATGAATATTGTACTTCCGGTTTCATCTTTTGTCTCAGTGCCGTCGAGGGGCTGGACATCATTCCTTTTCTTTTAACGTATAACATCACCAGTGTTTAAAAGCAATCAACAAACTAGTTGTAATTTGGAAACACCACCCACATTTTATTCCCGAATTATGTGGTTTGCTTCTTTTACTGCAGATGATGAAAGATTTGGATTTATCTTCATTACGTAATTACGATTCAATGATTACCCCATGTTAGTTTTGAGTCATCCGGGATCTGCTACTCCGTTTCTGCTCCTTCATGTTTCCTAAAATAAGCCAGCGTGCACCATACCTAAGCCTTTCGATATACGGATGAGAGCTTTCATATGTATCAGGCTTATTTTCTCGGCTAAAAAATCGATTAGGTAATAAATTCTCCCACTGCATACAATGATATCACCGTCGCGTTCAAGTCGGCGTTCTTCAAACGTCATTTCTTGAGTCGATGTGAGGCATTCATTTTAATTACAGTTAAAATGTCGAAATCTTTCATACTCTGATTTGAATTGATTATAGTTCGTTTTCTCGTGTTCCTTGTATTCGATTTTCATAATGCTCCCATTACCGGAAAGACAGTTTATAACGACTACTTTCTTTTTGTTTGCTACCAGCGATCTGTGATATCTTCTTGGCATCGTTAATTTCAGGGTGGTGAAATAATGTTATGTGACACTTGCCCTCGGGCCTATCATTTGGTCTGTTTGGATCCCGAGTTGGAGGAAGCCCCAGAAGGCACTTGGTCGTGCCCGCATTGTGAAAAGGAAGGTGTCAGTGGGAGTACAGCTGGTGACACTAAAACCTCTAAGGACACACCCGGGGAGTCAGGCAAGAAAGGTACCAAGGCTGCACCACCACCACCGCCAATGGCCTCTCCAGAGAAAGACGAGCATCAGGAATACTGTACTGAATGTCGTGATGGCGGTGATTTGATCTGTTGCGAAAATTGTCCAGCTAGTTATCATATGGCTTGTCTAACTCCGCCATTGTCAAGCATCCCCGAAGGTGTGTGGCTTTGCCCACGCTGTGGATGTAAACCTCTCCGTGCCAAAGTGGCTCGAATCCTTACCTGGCGTTGGTTTGAACCACCAAAGGTCGATGAATTAGATCATACCCACCATCATGCTCATGAGGGATCATCAGACGGAACCCAAAATGGCTCTGACGGGGACACCAAAACTGAAGCCACTCAGCAAGCGAAAGAAGGTGGAGGCACAACAGAAAAGGAGCCCACTAAAGACGTGGTTCCTCCACCTGAGGGGACTACAACTATGATACCACCTAGGCCTCCAATTATACGTCGACCAACTCGGGAATTTTTCGTAAAATATGTTGACCTCTCCTACTGGCATTGCGAGTGGTTAAGCGAGTTACAAATGGATGTTCATCATCCGATCATGCTGCGGAACTATTTCAAGAAGAACGATATGGAAGAGCCACCACTTCCAGAAGATGGAAGCACATATAGGTTAGTTTTACCCGTTTTTCATTTGTACATTCATGTGTGGTCGTCGGTTGTGAGTATGTATTCTTCGTAACTAATGCTTTGTCATAGATTGGCATGAAACTTTTTTTTGTTAATTGTTGCGTTCCTCATATACTGAACTGAAATCTTGGGTTGTTACAGCGGGTCCCTCACCGATATTACATTTCATGTTTTCAGTTCTCTTCCACGCACTAACTCTTACCCTTTTTCTCGTTATTATTCTTCCCAATAGGGGTAGAGCTCGTGAAAAGGTCGCTGATCCCCATAATCTTGATGAACGATTTTACAAATGGGGTGTACGACCAGAATGGTTACAAATTCAAAGAATTATTGATCACCGCTCGGGCCGTGGTGGACGTGAATGGTATCTGGTAAAGTGGCGTGACCTGTCGTACGATGAGTGTACATGGGAAGAACCGGATGGTGGTGTGACTGACATTGAACGCTTCATTGAGGAATACCGAACGATGCGTCAAGTCTTCATGGGGAACTTGTGCAGCTCACTTAATCCGGATGGAACGCGTACCGTCGTCAGTTTATCCAAGAAGCATAAAAGCAGTCGTCGTTCAAATCGAGACTCTGCTGCAGAGAAACTGAGTGCAGAATTGATACGAAAGCTTCCACCTGATAGGTGTTTGAGCGAACTAAAGAAACAGTATATCACTCAGCCAGATTTCATCGACGACACTGGTGGACAACTTCATCCTTATCAACTAGAAGGAGTAAATTGGTTGCGATTCTCCTATGGCAACAAGGTGGATACGATATTAGCCGATGAAATGGGACTAGGCAAAACTATCCAAACCATCGCGTTTTTATACTCATTGTATAAAGAGGGCCATTCTCGAGGTCCTTTCTTGGTCGCTGCTCCATTATCTACATTAATCAATTGGGAACGTGAATTTGAATTTTGGGCTCCAGATCTGTATGTTGTCTCATATGTGGGTGACAAAGACTCACGTATGGTTATTCGTGAGCATGAATTCTCTTTCGAAGAAGGCGCGGTCCGCGGTGGCACTCGTGTGATGCGAATGCGAAGTGGGACTTCAGTTCGGTTTCACGTTCTGCTTACCAGCTACGAGTTGATCAGCATAGATCAGGCGTTGTTGGGGTCCATCGATTGGGAAGTCCTGGTTGTGGACGAAGCACATCGATTGAAAAATAATCAATCCAAGTTCTTCCGCATTCTCGCCTCCTATCGTATTGCTTATAAATTGTTGCTAACCGGCACACCACTGCAGAACAATCTTGAGGAACTGTTCCACTTATTACATTTCATGACTCCAGAAAAGTTTCATGATATGCAAGGATTTTTGGATGAATTTGCGGACATTTCCAAAGAAGAACAAGTCAAAAAACTGCATGATATGTTAGGACAACATCTACTCCGTCGACTCAAAGCGGACGTACTACAGAACATGCCGTCCAAGGGTGAATTTATTGTCCNGTCCGTGTGGAACTCAGTCCCATGCAAAAGTGAGTACAATATCCGAATAGAAAATAGTCACACATTTTGAAAGGGTAACTCTAACATGCACGTTTTTGATTTATTCATGAGGCAATTAATGATTTCCGTCCAATTTCCCGTTCTCCTTTTGATGTGATAATATTTACCACACATTCTAGTCTACCTGGTGAGTATGGATATTCGACTTACTGTTCCTTTTAATTTATTTTACCATTCAAAATGACGCTTGAAAGTAGTAAAAACCTGTTGTCCAAGGGTGATCACTTATGTGGCCAGATAGGGAGAGAGAGAGAGTTTCCGATTCTCCGTCTCAGCGATGCCTATGTGCCCCATTAAATCAGTCCCAAGGCAGAGAACACTCGTCGTCGAGTTGGCATAAAGCGAATGTAAAACGCCTAAGTAACAAGTACAATCTGAACGAAATGTGAGTACGATCGGAAGACAATCAACCAGCTTTAATGGTTGATAACTTTTCTGCCACCCGACCCAATGTTATAACCATGCCTTATCATTGACGCTATACGCGGTTCTCGATCTCCATTCGCTGAGTTGGTGTTTCCAGTTTGTGTTAACGAATACTAATTTTTCGTAGCTATATATTCTGGTAGTTCTGTTAATCACATTATTAGCACTAAAGAAGACCAATGTGGAACGTTCTCACCATCATATCGAATTCCTTTTTGCTATACCCATACTGTAATACTACGTTCTTTTACTAGACGTCATTCCAAGACTATCTACTCCATTAGGTAAATAGTAATATCTGATTTCCGTCATTAGTGTTTCTTTGTTTTTTATTCGACGATTAATTTGTGAACTCAACACCCCGTTGACGCATATGCATCCAACTTTCCATCGTAGGCGTTATTACAAATTCATTCTCACTCGGAACTTCGAAGCTCTTAGCTGTCGTTCAGGTGGTTCACAAGTCTCATTGATCAATATCATGATGGATCTAAAGAAATGCTGCAATCATCCTTACTTGTTTCCTTCGGCGGCTGAAGAAGCCCAACGTCTCCCAAACGGGGCATACGAAGGAGTTGGTTTACGCAAGGCTTCCGGAAAGTTGGAACTCATGAGCAAAATGTTAAAGAATTTGTACGCGACCAAACATCGTGTGCTAATCTTCTCTCAGATGACGAAAATGCTTGATTTACTTGAAGACTTTCTGGACTGTGAGGGTTACAAGTTTGAACGTATTGATGGCGCAGTTACGGGGCAAATGCGTCAGGATGCAATCGATCGATTCAACGCACCCGATTCACCGTCGTTTGCCTTTCTCCTTTCCACGCGAGCCGGAGGTTTGGGAATTAATCTGGCCTCGGCAGATACAGTAATTATCTACGATTCAGATTGGAACCCTCACAACGACATCCAGGCGTTCTCTCGTGCGCATCGTATCGGTCAGGCAAATAAGGTAATGATGTGTGGCGTTCAATACTATTCTGTTTTCGTCCTGTTTCATTATTTGGTTTTTGATCACCTCCCTATGCATTGAACGATTATCTCCATTGATACATATTTCTAATGCCAGCCGTCAATGGCATCTGGTTGAACCACTTTCGAGGTTAGAACACTTTCCTAAATTTCCGGCTTTGTTCTGTTTTAGTTTCAATGTCGAGTAAATACTTGGTTTGTTTTTTGTATCGCTACAAGGAAACAGAGTATTTGGCTTTTGGAGGATAGGTCATTGCAGCTCGGAATGTCACCCATAGAGAATGCAGTTTTTTCATCATCTAACCTGATTTTACCTGTAATTCTTTCTGTCTTCATAGGTCATGATTTACCGTTTCGTCACACGTGGTACGGTGGAAGAACGTGTCACCCAGGTGGCCAAGAAAAAAATGATGCTCACACATCTGGTTGTGCGCCCTGGCCTTGGTGGAAAAGGATCATGTCAAATGTCCAAAAAAGAATTAGATGATATTCTCAAATTCGGCACAGAAGATCTGTTCAAAGAGGGAGAAGAAGACAGTAAGTACTATAAATGTATCACGGTTTCTCTACTGCTCTCAATTTGTACTATCAGAAAGGCTAAGCCATGTTACCCTACCGATGATATATAGGGCACTAGCTATTCTCTGATTACACACACACATCGCAGCCTAATTTATTGTGGGGAACTGAAGTACTCTGCGAAGGAAAATTCCAACTACATTCAACCCCAGCCGAATAAAAACAGTTTGAATTGAGATCGACACGAGTCAGTAAACGATTCTAGGGTATGACACAAATATCTTCACAGGGCAAAAGCTGGTGGACAGAAAACCTCTGGCAAACCGCTTCCATCCAGTGAAGAAGCTGTCAAAAAATTATCGCAACTGCCGTCACAAGGCTTTAAAGCAAACATCTTACTCGAGTATTTTCCCCCGAAGGAACCAGCAGACTGTGCGCTGTGATGAAGGGCTCTCTCAGAGACTGGAAAAGGGTTTGAACAAAGCCAACCAACACGTAGGATCACAAACGGGCAAGTTAACGCAATTTATGGCCCGTACTTTTTCAGCACCAGTATCGTACAGCGCACTTCTGATCGCTGCTACGAATGTGTGAGATAAATTGGGATTGGAACTGTTTTGATGAAGGGGTAAAAAGTGAGCCTCTGGTTGATACAGGGAGCACGTAGTCCAACTGTGCATACACACCTGATAAAAATAACGTGAACGCCACTGTTGGCGTTTCACTGCTGTCTTTAAGTGGCTCCAACCAACCAGTTCCAGTCCTTTTGACCCTATCCTGTAAGACAAAGGGCAAATGCTTCACCGAATCGCTCCGTGCATTTCCCGCGGTATCCTTTGGTCTTCATGTGATTTTCTCCGCCCTGGAATAGCCATTGTGAATGCAGCGCATTGCAGTCGACGACAACTTATCATGCACGTTACATGTATGAACCGCCGAAACCATTAAGCTTTCGGCGTGATAATGACTGTTCTGCTGTAATTCTCCCAAATACACGACGAGTTACTGTGGTGTCGCCCACTCGATCCATCTGAACGTCACTAAACTATAAACCTCGATGTTGGAAGATCTCTAGACAACGGAAATCTTCCACATGCAAACTCGGATTCTCACAACGGTAACTTACTAAACTGTGATCAATTTTAGGCATTTTATCGCTACCTACCTCACTGGATGCAACGGGCAGCTCTGCCTTGATTATTTTGTCCGATGAATAGTCCATAATGGAATTCGTTTCGATTTATGAGATCCTGGTAGCTAACTGGGTTAGAAAGCTCACCCACTAAGTGGGTTCTCATTTAGCGCCTTTTGTTCTGAAAAGAACCTACCCTCACGGTAGCATTTATGGCGACATGAGGACTTGGCTTGGCTTATTTATTTCTCCGCCATTTTTACGTACGGAAAAGCCAACTCAAGGCAAATCCTCAATCTGGGGGCCCAGGAGCCTGGATTTTGTCTAAGCCCTACCGTCTGGCCTTTCAGGTATGCTTAGATCTTCGGTTCGTGAAAGCCATCCTGTTTAGCTCGTTGAATTCCAGAAGTGCACAAGTTATCACATCACGCCAACGTACAGTCTCATCGTGATGAACTCTTTTTGCAGCTGTTCTCTTTGGAATAAATCTATATTCATGGATTTTGCTTCTGCTTGGCGATAGACATATTGAACTTAGTGTTTATTTGTAGGTGTTACTTTAAGTTCCTTTCCCTTTGATCATTTGTTTCCTCGGTTCAGCCACGTAGATGATCTCCATTCTCGCAACTTCTGTTCCGATTCTGAATGAAAAAAGTAACTGGACAGCAAATGAATGCTGAAGTTTATCAGCAGTCATTCAACCATGTGTCCAGTGTCGAAATGTTGCATTTGTGAGAATATCCTACATGTGCATTTCGTGGTTGAAATGGAGAGGGGATGGGTTCTGGGAATAGTTGAGTCTACCTTGGAATGCCGTCCGCAAGGAGCGCGTGCAACCCTGTGGCCCGTCAGCCTGTCGCTTCGAGCGGAATGATGACAAGACAAAGACGATCTGCGTGGTTCTTCCAGCAAGCCTACAGTGTTTCCACTGCCCTTTCAGCTCACACTAACTTGGTGAGGAACGGCAATTCGCGTTATTTTTAGAGTTCTAGGGAGTTTGACATCCTGCCGCATTTAGTCTCGTTGGGATGTCCCTTCATTGACGGTTCGCAATTTTTTTTACAACTTTATCTCCTAAATAAAGGTTTATCTGCACAAAAATAATAATATGGCATGCCTGGGAGTTAACAAATATTTTCGGCGATTCTACATAATTCTGTGTTAAATCACAATCGACTGACAGTCATTCACCAATACTCTTCATTTTAGAAGAAGATGAGCATTGTATCGTCTATGATGATGCTGCGATTGATCGTTTACTGGACCGCAGCCAACAAGGCTTGGAGGAGAAAGCACTAGAAATGAATGATTATCTAACTTCGTTCAAAGTGGCTCATTACGAGAAAAAAGGGGTCATGGAAGAGGACGATGACGAGTCTGATGAAGAAGACGAAAATCGCGAGGTTAGTGTTGCCGTTAAGGAGGATCGAGCCTTTTGTTCTTAGGGGTTCCAGTTTGTGTAAGAGTTAGCATCTCTTCTTGTATTGAGTACTGATGATTCTCTTTTCCACCTCTTTTATTCCTTCTTATAGGTCATCAAACAAGAGTTAGACCCAGCAGACCCAACCTACTGGGAGAAATTATTACGTCATCATTTTGAACAGGCACAAGAAGATCAATCCCGTGTACTCGGCAAGGGTAAACGTGTTCGAAAACAGGTAAACTATTCGACCACTCAAGAGGAAGAAGAAGAGTGGAATCAAGCGATGAGCGATCACGACAGTGATTTCTCAAACAAGGTTTGTCTGTCTACCTGATTGCATTGATCTCTGTCTGTATTCATTTCGGATTGGCGGTGTTCCAGATATACGCTACGGTGTGCAAGGTTCCAGGTTCGAACCTCACTTCTGCCATCACACTTCTCCAGTTTTGGCAGTTCACTTCCGTTCGACTCGACACTATACTTTTCTATCAAGGCGTTATGTGATTTGCCATTTCAAATCCCCGCTTGCGTCTTTTCTCCCGTTGATAAACACTAGCTCTTTGACCATAGGATCAAATCTTACTATTCACTTATAAAACGGGTTGCAAAACCCCGGACACTTTCCCATTACCTTATATTCATTGAAATAAGTTGTTCAGTTGATGTCTGCATTGCACTGGTGCTCAACTACGCGATCCGCCAAAGAACATTGGCCTAAGACAAATTACACAACACTATTTAACTTCAACGTGGCTACCTCCGAATAAAAAAATCAGGAAAACATGAATTTCTCCTACTACATAGTAGGGGTAATGTTCTTCATAAAATATCCTTTTGGGACGAGGTGGCGAAGTCACAAAGACCTGCTGTTTAATTATGAAAACTTGGCCCAAGGACTTGGAATGCATAAACTCATAGGGCCAATCTGGGTCAGTTTTGTGTTCTAGCTGAACGATAGCTCACCGGTCCAACGTCAAAGTTGAGTTACGGCAACAGGATCTTAACCTGTAATCATAGAGCCGTAGTGTAGTGAAATGAAATAAGAACCTCAGTGACAGGCATTTGAACCGATTGATCAAGATCGTTCAGATATATCTGTCGGTACAGTTCCTTACTAAAGGGTATGGCTGAGAGAACGCCTTTGGTTCCCAAAATTCGTACATATTCTACAAAGTTCATTGTCACATTAAATCACTGTTTTGAACGGTAAATCCGATTGATTATATACACCCTCAACATGATTATTCGCATTGGAAAGATACTGAATAGGGTAATCGTCTGATCGATCATGAGTACTTTTTTCTACAGAACAGCGTATTTCTCCACCGATTAAGTGCAAAGCGGTGGCTTGGAACTGGGACGTCATCCCCCATTCTTATTACACGTGTAGAGATTTGCAGTAAAGACAGTGAACTCCGTGTCGTTTTTGTTGTTTCAGCCCATAGAATGCCACGATTCTCGTTACAGAGATGAGCTACCCGTATGTTCATGGAAGGGCCACTTAATTTGTAATTTACATTTAACTCTAAGGTTGCTATAATACTATAAATAATGCTATTATAATTTAGTATTATAAGGGAGTAATTGTTTGAGTAGTACGGTAGGGTTGCACATTGAGAACTCTTAAATTCTCCGTAACTTCCGGACACTGTAATGCAGTAGGTTCTACGTCAGAGGCGCTCGATCAGACCACTTCATCTACATTCTGAAGAAGTATATCGTGGTTGTCCCATTGTCCTCGTTCTGTTGTATTTCTATGATGATTAATTCTTCAGGCTGATGTGCATACTTTTTCTGTGAATTTTTTGCATGCGAAGTGTTTTCTCGACCGGACCGTGTGGTTCATCGATTGTAATGTCCATCTGTGATCTGTGCTAACGTTTATCATAGGATGAAGATGATGATGAATATGATGAACGTACTGGAGCCGGCGGGGGTGATCTGCCTGTTAGTGGACGTCGTACTCGACGCGAACGGGAAGGCCGTATGCCCCCTGTTTTGTCACGCGTCAACGGGCAGTTTGAGGTATTAGGTTTCAATGCTCGACAACGTCGTTCTTTCCTCAATGCAATTATGCGGTGAGTAATTTTGGATTCCCCTTCGTGCAGTATTTTAATTCGTCGTATGTCCATTATTCTCTTGGATGTACTTCCACCACCCAAACCGGTCACATTCATCTGACTTGAAGCATCTTGTAAATGACAGAATTATGGTTACTCTCATTTGAGGTTAACACGTTTATGGAATTAACAGAAAAAGATTATACTACATTCTTGTGCAAACAAAGAGCAAATACAACGTATATAAAGAGGGGGCTGGCCTGTAAACTTCGTTTTGTTCTGTTTCCATTCATTGACGGACATGTTTCACTTTTCAAAATACGACGATTTCAAGTAAGGGTTGTGCACCATGAACATTCAGCGTTCAGGACAATGTTACCGATGATCCGCCAGTATCCAGGACTATGCCGAGGCCTAAATCATGAATTGAGTATTCCGCATAAATAAGTTTTCATCCATGAGTTAAGTTTCTCTCATTGTCTTGTCTTGTTTTTAGGTCGTGACTGTGTTGAAAGTTGGCATGCATATCATCTTCACTCATAATGGCGTACCGGGAACTAGAAAAACTGTTCAGTGCACTAACTGATTTCTATAACATGCATCTTGATTTCATCCGCACTTTGATTGAATCTTGCTAGGTTGCGGTGATTCTCCACACAAAACGATTTCCAATGCAACTGTTTGATTTTTGTTTGAAGTAAACTGTGCCCATTGGAACTGGATTTCGAAAACGGTCCATCTGACGAGCTGATTACTCGGTCAGATCTACATTTTATGACCTCTAAGATCTTCTCAGGGCGATACCATGAACAAACTATAATCCACGGCTCACCGTTGTTCTTCCCCCTTCACGACGAGACTGCAGCCTGACAAAAAAGGTGACGGGTCCTCTTGTGAAAACCACAGAGGAATTTGTTTAATCAACATTGCCTCTGAACTTCTCACCGACATCATACTCCGTCTATTGTCTGTCTCTCGTGAAGAGTGCACACGTGAGAACCAGGCCGGTTTTAGACCTGGTCGAGGTAGTATCAACCACATCTTCACTCTTCGCCAAATCCTAGAGCAGACACTCCTTTCGTAGATCTACCATTTCCATCTTCCTCGACTTGAAAGCGGCTTCCGACTCAGTCGACCGCCTTAAACTCTGGTGCTGCCTTTCTCTGAAGAGTGTACCCGAGAAGTTTATTTATTACAATCCCTTTATTCTAACAGCCGAAGCCGAATCCGAGCTTACGGCACCTTTTCATCCGAGTTCACTACAGAGAGTGGTGTTCGACAGAGTGGCCCTCTCTATTATGCTACTAAGTGAAGACGAAGGTAAGCTGCAAGCTTTTCTGGATATATTGAACGCCAGCGTAGCCATGTTCGATATGCGCTTCTCACCTTTAAAGTGTAAAATATCACTCCAAGATTGGTTTGGTATGAGAACCCTGACCAGGAGACTGGCTCACATAGGTCCCGTTAGGCTCCCTGGCTGGGGACCCGAGGTCATGGTCACCGATGGTTAGAGACATTGAGCGATATGACTGGGTGTCGCAAACAGTGGCGCTCATGCATCTACTCATTATTCTTGTAACTTCAGTCTATGTAAATGCGCCTGAATTTGCTCTCGACATTCTAATGTTCATTCTGCTGTTTTATCCAAACGGGAAACCAAAAGACAGCAACCCAAACCGGCGCACGAAAGTGCATGGTTAATGTTTGTAAGAACTGAAGTGAACTGTTGTTTGTCCCTATTAGTCCTGGACTATGAAATCACACCCTTGACATTTGGCCATCATTTCGAGAGTCAGATTGCATTGTACAGTGGTGGATTGATTGGTCATCCTCATAGAAATTAAAGTGCAATTTATTCCAACGCAAGGTGGATCTCATTTCTCTGTACAAAGCGGTCCTACGTGTGTGAACATTTCGGTTGGGCCTCCCCTTGATTACGATTGTTTTCCATTTACCATACTTGAATTGTTGTCGCTTGACGACTGGCCATTGTAGAGACAACGCCTGGACAAAACGCCCCTGATTACATAGTGTAAGGTCAAGCAGTCTAATCGCTATTGCTTCAGCTGTGCACAGTATGTTCAAGCGTACTACTGTAGACGATAATGATGGAATGCGATAAATGGTTCTGAACGCTCGACTTACGTTCACTTGATGATTACTTTCCAACAGCTGTTGGCATATCGCGCTTTTCGCTGTCTTCGTTTCTCCGTGTGCTTTACCTATGTAATTGTAAATGACCAATCGATCAATTATAAAAAGAACAGCTTGTTTTACCTATCGCCTTGTATTTTCAGTGTCACAGTGAACATTTTCCGTATATGGTAATTTCTTCGTTTATATTTATAATATTGTTTTTGTGTTCTTAAATGTAACTGAGGTGGCAAAGTAACTTATATTTATCCATTCCTACAGATATGGTCTTCCTCCGAGTGATCAACCGTGGAACGTTCGAGAGTTGCGTTGCAAACCAGATCGCGTCTTACGAGCATATACCAGTCTTTTTATGCGTCATATGTGTGAGCCCGACACGGATAACTCAGACACTTTCAGTGATGGTGTACCGCGTGAAGGTATTTCTCCACAGCACGTACTAAGTCGAATTGGAATCATGGCCTTAGTTCGCAGAAAAGTAAGTTTTCAACCAGTGTTTTTTATATCATAGTTTCATGGTTTAGTATGATTTAGTGTAATTATCTTGAGTGATTGTGCGATGATTGAGAGAAAGAGGACAGAGCCCGATATGAAGTTTTAATCCTTTGAAGATGTAGGCACATCAGCTATAATTTAGAAATAGTATACATAATATGGAGGTTGATCAGCTAGAGTAGGTCGGCCGCATTCGCCTAAGACGCGTCTGGGGGATGAGGCGGGGGGGGGGGCNTGTGTGGCTAGATTGGTGGCGGGTAGAAAATGAAACGATTGTTAACTTTGCATTCTGAATATCTCCTGTTCCTCGTCACTAGGGACTGGAGATGCTCAGTGAATAAACAGCCTCTGCTGTGCCGTTTCATTTTGCTGCACTATTTTTCATCTGTGACACCTTTGAATCCTGTTCAATAAGATGTTTTTATGGTCCGCGACTGCTTGCTAACTTTACATTACATTATATTATATATATTTATCATATATTAGTGTATTTTCTGTACTACTCTGATCGGATAAAATTGTTCGCTAAGCGCGGCGAGTTTTTTTTTGAATTCATGTTTTCACCCTCTTATTTTTATCTTAATAGTCAATTTAAATGATGCTTTTATTGGAAGGTACGGATGGTTTTTTTCGATTTTCTTCTACTGTAGGTCAAGGAATTCGAAAATATCAACGGACACTTTAGCATGCCCGAAGCGGAACCTAAACCGGAGGTCAACGGTGACACTTGTACAGAGGTGGAAAAGACAACTGAGCCGGATGCAGCTGAATCCACCGTTGATCAAGATCTAAAGACCACTGATAATGCGTTACATATGGATTCCACAGACCGAGTCAAGCCGAACGGGATTGGAGACGACTACATCTCGGCAGACGATGCTTCAAAGGCTAGTGACAAAACGGAACCTATGGAGATAGATGACCTAAAGAGTACTAAATGTGCAAAATCATCAGGAACAGAAAGCACTTCAAAGAGTGTGGAATCAGTGGCTAAGGTCAGTCACATTATGAGCGCAAAGTATTGTTTTGCGTTTATTGCTTTATCCTTCGTTGCATGCTTTAAAAGAGTCCTGCGTGGTTCCCATCACGACCGTTTCGATTAGGTGCTCTGTAAATTTCCTCTTCGGCTTACATGTTCACTCAGGCTCATTCGTCGTCGCTCTTCCATGAGGGAAATCATGAAAATCATTTTTAAAACCTCTGCTTGTTTTATTTTCTGTAACATGTCGACCATTCCGCGAAACAATATTCAAGCTGATTATAGTAAGGATAGTAAATAGAACGTCGGTATGATTATAGGGTACACTGTGTGAATGAATTATTCATCACTTTTAAGTGTACAGTAACATTGATTCGAAGAATGTGGTGTTTAGTCCTTTCTCGTGGTAATTTTAGGTTTTGGTAGAGGAAAATGAAATCGTATCAACCGATTTATAGGGGTAGTTCGTACCATCGAAGTTCATAACCCATGTTCGCTTACACCCTTTTTCAGCCGGAACAATCCGACGGGGTTGCCGATGGTTCAAGGCCTTCTACTGAACACATAAAATCTGAATCTGCAACCGGTTCCGGAGAGGCAGATAATGTGGTCAAAGAAAGTAGTCCCCAGGCGTCCAATCGCTTCATGTTCAACATTGCAGATGGGGGATTCACGGAACTGCACACAATCTGGTTGAACGAGCAACGAGCTCTAGTGAAGGATCGGGAGGCCGAAATCTGGCACCGCCGTCACGACTACTGGTTGCTGGCGGGAGTTGTGCAACACGGATATGGCAGGTGGCAGGTTCGTAGATTTCGACCATTGTGCTCATTTGACGTGACCGTATCAGTATCCTGTCAGC